ATCCTTGGTAATTTATAAATTGTTATTATTTTTTATATCTTCCACTTACCGATGTCTCCTTTTACCTATTTTTTCTGTTGTCTGTCCCCCAGGGAGGGGGTTATATGTAGATCATTGTGATCGGTTCCCTCCTTCTCCCCCCACCTTCTGCCTTTTCCCATTTTTAATTAGATTATTCATCTTTTTCTTGATAAAGTGTTGTAGTTTTTCATAGGTTTTAGAGATTGGTCCTTAATCCAATATGTCATTCATTGCCAAAAAGGTTTTCCCAGTCTATAGGTTCTTTTTGTACTTTTTGATGAAGTTTTTTGATATACTTAAGCGTCTTACTTCTGTAGGTCCAGTCATCTATTTTGTCTTCTGTTGTGTGCATGGTTCTTGTTATATTTGGTAGCAAGTTTATGCAGTGCTAATTTGTCCCTTTTTTCTCATTGATGATCTTCATAGATAGCCCTGAGATTTACATTTAGCTCTTTAATCCATGTTGTTTGTTTTGTATACGGAGTGAGTATGGATCCTGTTTCGTTTTTCTGCAGATGGAAATCTAATTTTGTTCTGACCATTTTTTAGAGAGACTATCTCTTCCCCATTTAATGTTTTTGACCTTTTGTCAAAGATCGGTTGTCTTTGGGTGAATGGGTTTATCGCTGGGTTCTTTACTCTGTTCCATTGGCCTAGCATTGTACCGTACCAGGTTATTTTGACTACTATGTCTGTGTAAAGATTTTTGTTTTGTTTTGTTTGTTTGTTTTTGGCTGTGTAAAGATTTTGAGGTCAGGAAATGAGAGGCGCCTTATTTTGTTCTTCGTAAGTAGTTCTTTCCTTATCCTGGGTCTCTTTTCTCTCTATATAAAGTTGGTATTTAGTTTTTCCATTTCTTAGTTTAAAGAATGAAGTTGGGATCTGGATTAGAATTTCATTAAATAGATTTCTTTGGATCGTAATGACATTTTCACAATATTAAGCCTTTCTATCCATGAGCATGGAACTTTCTTTCATTTATGTCAGTCTCTTGATTTCTTATAATTATGTTTTTGTAATTTTCTTTGCACAAGTCTGATATTTGTCTGCTTAGGTTTATTGCTAAGTATTTCATCTTTTGCATGACTATTGTAATTATATCTGTCAGGCTAGGATGAAAGAAAACCAGTAACACTAATATAAGAAAGAGCTTTGTGTCAAGAAATTATTTTATAGCAAGAAGGTGTCCCCACCTAGTCTAACTCAGTCCATGAGTCCCATGCTATATGAGTCTGGAGCTCTCAGACTCATGTAACTACAGGGCGATACCACAGAAAGGTGAAGTGGGAAACAGAGAGGTCACAGGCTGGTGGGGGCAGAGTTGCATAGATCCAAGGTTGGTAGAAACGTACGTGGCAGGGCACACAGTTTGAAGGTTGGTTCCGAGGGTCAGTTGCCCACATGGCATCGCCTGTGGAGACAGACATAGATCCCAGTAAGGAGGAAAGTGAAGGACCACAGAGGGGAGAAGTTCCTAGTGTCTCATCTTTTTTTTCTTCTTCTTTACACCTCCCAATGTTTTTCTTTCAAATTTTCAGTATTTTTTCTTTCTTTTTTTTAAAAGTTTTATTGGCACTTCATCCACGCATCATACAATTCAATAGCTCAATCATATCAAGAAGAGTTGTACAAGCATGACCACAATTAATTTTCGAACTATCAGCATGTTTAAGAGTGCCAATGTGCACAAGATTATTGGGGACTACCATGGGCCTGGGACTTGCTAGGGGTTCTGGGAAATGTAGTCCCAAAATGTTGGCATGGGCTCTGCACATGCTTTGTCCAGATCTACACCTTTACTCCCATACCATGTCTCATTTTCCCCCTGAGATATTTCATGCACATTCTTTTTTGTGGGATCAGTGGCAGAGGTCTATCCTTTAGGTTTGTTTTTTTTAAAACTGTTTTATTAGGTCCTAGTGTCTCACTTATAAAAAGGCTGCACTTTTTATAAGTGCATCATCAGGCTGTAACCAGATTGATT